TGCTCCCCTCCCTGTGTCCATGTGTTCTCATTGTTCAACACCCGCCTATGAGTGAGAACATGCGGTGTTTGATCTTCTGCTCTTCTGTCAGTTTACGGGCATTTTTATCTTTGACAATTCATCTCTGTTTAAACTGTGTCATCTAATTTGCTACCAAGGTAGTAACTTCTTACTTTGAAATCTCTATAATCTTTCAAATATCTTTTAAGACCTTTTTGTCTTCCCATTTCTAGTTTCTTCCATTACAATCCACTTATATAATGCTGTCAAGGCTAATCTTCCTAAAATACAATTTTCTGTAATTTCCATCCTTTTTAAGAATGTAAAAGTTTCCTCCCACCGAGAGAAGCACGTATAAATGTTTACAGGTTTATAGTTTCACTTCCTCCACCTTTGCCCTCTTTCTCCACTACTCCAGTCAAACCGGTTCTCCAAGTCTTTGCTAATATTATCACAATACTCTCCTTCTTGACACACAACTATTTAAATTTTATCCATCCTTCAGGGCTTAAGTTCCACCACTTCCAGCTTGCCTACTCAGCTTACATCTTCTCTGAACTCCTGAGGTACTTCTTGAGAGTTTATTTAGCTACTGCAATTGAAAAAAGACCAAATATTGTACTTAGAATCAGTCCCTATCCCACAGACCTCCCAGTATGTCAGGCTTATAACAGGCACTTAACATGCTGATTTGTCATATGGTGTGCTACTCAGTGATAAATGAGTAAAATGGATCAGACCTCAAAAACAAATTGTATCTAATTCAACAGCTATATACCTATCACCCTACTGACTACTACAAATTCTATGCTTAATCCCTTCATATCAAATTAGTCTGTATTAAGCATCTACTGAAATGCTCACTATGCTTGTTACTACAGGAGTTGGAGAGTAGTATAAGACATGATTCGTCTCCTCAACAGGTTTATAACCTTTCTAGGGCATGCATGAAACAATTTGACAATAAGACACTATATGGCAAGGTGCTAAATTCTGTAACATTCAATTAAAATACCATATAACTGCTAGACTCATCATTCTGAAATATGGAATCTGACAAACCTTTTAATAAGTATCAACATATGAATAGTTTATAGTAACAATGCTGCCATTTACCTTTCTACTGGCAACTTTAAAAGAAATCAGAACACCAAAACTAATTTTTATTGTATAACAGCTAGCCAATCACAAGGTTTTGGATGTTAATTATGAATTATCAGAACTCCTTTCTGACGTGATAAATCCCAAAATTTGAAATAAAATAAAATTATAAGTAATATCAATAACAGGTTGGCATAATTAAAACAAATAATGCTACTTACCATAAGAACACCATATGACCACCAATCAGCACTCTGGGAATGGCCTCTCCTATTTACTACTTCAGGAGCCATATACTCTACTGTACCACAAAATGAGTATGCCTTCTTTTCTTGATCTACTGACTCCTTGCTGAGTCCAAAATCTATAATAATAGTATTACCAAAAAATGTGTCTGAAAAACTTCAGAAAATAGAAAACATCAAAAACAACAAAACAACAAAATAATGTATTAAACATTACAATTATTTATGGATGGCCTACAGTTACTCTTAAGAAAGTTCCTGTGAGATCAATAAAAGAAAGCAGCCTGTATTTCATAACAATACTCTTTAAGGTCATTTAAAGATTGTTCCATTAAATCTCATCTTCAAAATACATGCTTTCTGGTCTGCACTACAGTATCATGGAAATATTTTGAGGAAACAACAAGTAAATCAAAGCTGCCATAATGACCTAAGTTTTAAAACAGATTAAGACAAAACAGAAATAGTAACTTATACTTTTTAAAATATTGAAAAAGCAAATTTTGCTTTGGCTTTGGTGAGCTTCCATTTTTGTTCAAAGCCTTCAAAGAGCTAAAAATATCAATATATAAAAATCAATCTTATTTCTTGGTATTAGTAATGAACAACTGGAAGGTGAAATTTTTTAAGTACCATTAATAATACCACCAAAAATATCAAACTTGAAATCCACAGGTATAAATATACAAATACAGCTATAAAATATATATGTAAGAATTATATGCTGACAACTGGAAACATTGATGAAAGAAATCAAAGTAGACCTAAATAAATGGTAAGTATGCCATGTTCATGAATTGGAATATTTAATGTTGTTAATAGGTCAATTCTCCCAAAACTGAGATGTCAATTCAATGAAACTTCAATAAAATCCCAGCAAAATTTCTTCTGTAGAAATAAATAAGCTGATTCTACAATTTGTATTAAAAAAAGAAAAAGCCAAGAAAATAAAATAGCCCAAACAATTTTGAAAAGCAAGAAAAAAGTGGAAGGACTTATATTTCACCTGACTTCAACACTTACTATAAAGCTACATTAATCAAGACAATGGGGTACCGGAAAAAGGTTAGACATATATATCAATATAAAAGAAATGTGTTCAATAATAGACTGACATATGGAGTTAGTTCTGCTATAATGTTTCTTTTGAAAATGCAAATTTGTTCTAATGCAATTGATATCTTAGCAAACAATTTAAGTATAACAGGAATTTCACACTGGCTTATGGGTGATTTTGTCTGCAGGAAATGTTAGGTGAGCACAGAAAACTGCACTAGCTGAGCTTAGCAAAGTAGAAATACATAAAATGCACATATGTACACACCTCAATCATCTATCAGCTACTTCACTGTATTTGTTATGAGCCACTCCTGTCCACTAGTGTTAAAATTTTCCTTCCAATTCCAGATAATCTAACTTCCACTACAGCATTATAACTTACAAACTGTAACTTTTCTTATACCTACTTCCAGAAGCAAACTTCAGATCTTTTTCAAGGTAAGGAACCATATTTATTGCAGTCTTTATGTATTTCGTAATCATTTAGAACATGTAAAACAAGGCTACCACTTTTACTTTCTTTTGCATATCACTCATTAAACATTTTAAAGTTATGCCCCTTGTCTCACTTTCCCTGTAAGTTCTGTGGTTTATATACTATGCATTTATGCATGCTGTAGTGATTCAGATCACATATGTCACATTATAACAGAACTGGCTCTACATTGTCAATTTCTGGCAAAGGTGCAAAAGCAATTCCATGGAGAAAAAGCAGTCTTTTTAACAAATGGTACAAGAACAAGTAGGACAGAGATATAGAAAAGTTCATCCTCATATCTTAAGTAACTCAAAATATATCGTAAACCATGTAAAACCTAGAACTGTAAAATTTACAAAAAAAAATCTTTGTGATCTTGGGTTAGACAAGGAATTCTCAGATACATCAAACATATAATCCATAAAAGAAAAATAATGATAAACTGGACATCATTAAAAGAAATAAAACTGTTCTTCAGAAAACAGCATTAAAAAAATGAAAAGCTACAGTAGGAGAGAATGAAGCAAGACGGCAAAATAGAAGCCTATACCATTTGTAGTTTCTGTAGGAACACCAAAGTTTAAGAACTACTGCACATAGAAAAGCATCATCACAAGAATAAAAAATCAGGTGAGTAATCACAGTACTTAGTTTTAACTACATATTGCTTAAAGAGGCATTGAAGAGAGTAGAAAAGACAGTCATGGATCACTGATGACACCTCTTCCCCATGCCCCAGCAGTGGCCATGCAGCGAGGGGAGCCTCTGCAGATAGGGGAGGGAAAGCTCAGCAACTGAGAGATTTTACATTGAATTCAGCGCTGCCCTGTTACAGCAGAGAGCAAAGTCATGCTGGGCTCTTCCAGCACCCACATATGGAAGAAACTTTATTTATTTATTTATTTATTTATTTATTTATTTATTTATTTATTTGAGACGGAGTTTCGCTCTCGTTGCCCAGGCTGGAGTGCAATGGCGCGATCTCGGCTCACCACAACCTCCGCCTCCTGGGTTCAGGCAATTCTCCTGCCTCAGCCTCCTGAGTAGCTGGGATTACAGGCATGCGCCACCATGCCCAGCTGATTTTCCAGCACCCACATATGGAAGAAGCTTTATTTATTTATTTATTTATTTATTTATTTATTTGAGACGGAGTTTCGCTCTCGTTGCCCAGGCTGGAGTGCAATGGCGCGATCTCGGCTCACCACAACCTCCGCCTCCTGGGTTCAGGCAATTCTCCTGCCTCAGCCTCCTGAGTAGCTGGGATTACAGGCATGCGCCACCATGCCCAGCTGATTTTTTTGTATTTTTAGTAGAGACGGGGTTTCACCATGTTGACCAGGATGGTCTCAATCTCTTGACCTCGTGATCCACCCGCCTTGGCCTCCCAAAGTGCTGGGATTACAGGCGTGAGCCACCATGCCCAGCCTGCTTTTGTTATTTTTTATGTATTATTATTTTTTTGAGATGGAGTCTTGCTCACCGCAACCTCTGCCTCCTGGATTCAAGTGATTCTCCTGCCTCAGCCTCCTGAGTAGCTGGGATTACAGATGCCCAACCACCATGCCCAGCTAATATTTTTGTATTTTTAGTAGAGGCAGGGCTTCACCATGTTGGGTCAGTCTGATCTTGAACTCCTGATCTCAGGTGATCCATCCACCTTGGGCTCCTAAAGTGCCAAGATTACAGGCATGAACCATTGTGCCCAGCCGGGGGAAGCTTTTGGACAAGAACTAGCCAGAGGGGAATTGCCCATCCCAGTCGTCTAAATTTGAATTCCTCAGCAAGCCTTGACATCTTGGGCCAAAGTGATCTGGGGTTCTAGGTAAACTTACAAGGCAGTCTAAGATGTAAACCCTACAATTCCTAGACAACAACTAGTGTTGAACTGGAATTAGAGCCAGTGGACTAAGGTGGCATGTGGCCTAGGAAGATACCAGCAGAATGGCTAAGGGACTATTTGTGCCACTGTTCCCACAACCTCAGATAGCACAGCAACAAAAGTGACTTCTTCCTTCTGCTTAAGAAAGGATCCAAAAGTAAAGAGGACTTTGTCTTAGATCTTGGATATCAGCTCAGCCATAGTAGGATAGGACAGGGGGCAGAGTTGGGAGTTTCCCATTTTAGGCCCTAGCTCATGGATGACATTTCTAGACACAACCTGGGCCAAAAGGAAACCCACTGTCTTGAAGAGAAGGACCCAATCCTGGCAGGATTCATTGCCTGCTGATTAAAGAGCTCTTGGGCCATGAATAACCAGCAGCAGCAATATACCAAGGTAGAACAGCATGGACCTTGGGCTCTGAGACATGCTGGCTTCAGGTGTGACCCAACAAATTGAGAGCTGTGGTAGCTACAGAAAAAGACTCCATCTGTTTGAGAAAAGCAGATGGAAAGGTAAAAGGGACTGTCTTGCACCTTAGGTACTAGCTTGGCCACAGTGGGATAGACCAACAGGCAGGCTCTTGAGGTCTCTGAGCCTAGGCCTAGGCTCTTGGATATGATTTCTGGTCCTGCTTCTGGAGGATAAGGGAGCCCAGTGCTCTGAAGAGTGAGTTCCCAGCCTGGCAACATTCACCACAAGTTAACTGAGGAGCTGTTGGGCTTTAAGTGAAAATTGCCAGTGGCTTGGCAGAATCCCCACTATGGGCTGCTGGTGCTGACGGCTACAGGGAGAGGCTCTTCCACCTGCAGAAAGGGGAAGAAAGTGCAACAAAGATTCTGGATTATGGTCTGAGTGCCAGCTTAGCTGCAGTAGAAAGAACATCAGGTAAATTTCTTAGGTATTTGATTCTAATCCTTGGCTCCCAGACAGCATGTCTATTATTCCTGCCCAGGGCCGGGGGAACTCATTGCCTTGAAAGGAAGGGCACAAACCTGTCTGGCTTTACCATCTGCTGAGTGTAGAGCACTAGGGCCTTGAGTGAACATAGGTTTTAGCCAGGTAGTAGCTATAATGAGCTATGGGTGAGACCCAGTGTCGTGCTGACTTCCAGTCTGATTCAGTACAGTCTGAGTGGTGGTGGCCATAGGGATGACTGCATAAACACATCCCCATTCCAGGTGGCTCAGCATAGAAATAGATTCCATTTGTATGGGAGAAAATAAGGGAAAAGAACGAGGTTCTCTGACTGGTAATAAAGAGAATTCTTCCAGAATTTATCCAAGACCATCAATGTGGTACTCTAGAAGCCTATAAAACCACAGCATTATTGGGCTTGGGGTTCAAGTCCCAGCGAATACCTGTAAAGTCTTCCCAAAAAGGACAGGTACAAACAAGCCCAGAGTGCAAAGACCAAAATATAAATCTAACTAATCAATGCCCATATACTGCCAAGCATCTACAAGCAGCAAGACCATCCAGGAAAACATGACCTTACCAAATGAACTAAATAAATAAGGAGCCAGGAACCCATTCTGGAGAAGCAGAGACAGATATGCAGGCTTTCAGACAGATAATTCAAAATAGCTGTGTTGAAGAAACTCAATGAAACTAAAGATAACAAAGAGAAGGAATTTAGAATTCTATCTGATAACTTTAATAAAGAGATTAAAATAATTAAAAATAATCAAGTAGAAATT